TTCTTGGAAAAAAATGTATAGGGTTGAAGAGGTGAAATGTGGTACAGGATAAATTCACATGAAGGTTGATTGTTACTACTACAAAGAAGTTGGTAATTCCTGGAGATTTTCATGGGCCATAGCTTCATGTGACATTCCCAGAATACTTCCTATGGGATCAGATGTATTAGCCTTCTTAAATAAGAGAAAACATCAGAGACCAACACAAGTAACTTTTCATTCCTGAGCTAAAACAAGTCATAATGAATGCATAACCATCTACAGCTATTGAATAGTCATCAATAAATAGATATATTTGGGAACATGAGGCGTTCAAGTTATCCATTAAATTGAAATTTTAAGTCTTCCCAAGAATGTGGTCAGCTGTTGTCTCAAGACTAGTTTATTTGGTGGAGTTTCTGTCAATGCATTCTGTACCAGTACATAGCCATAGTGATGGCCCCTGTATGCCTCATCAGCGATAACCAGATTGAATAATGAACACAGTGAGAATTAAAATGTGAACAGCACAATGAGAGATAGGACTCAAACTCTCCATCTTAAAACATCCTGGCATTCCAGCTAGCGCAAGCATCATGCAAAAGCTGTACTTACATTCTGAAGATCATTTAAGATTGGGGCGGATGTCATTTCCTTTATTTCATCATTTCACATGGTTGCAGCTGGTATCACTCCTGTGTTTCCACAGGAGCCATACTTACAGTGAGTGTTAGTTCCAACAGTTGCAATTCTGTCAGATAGTGTTATTTTAGTGTGGACTCCAGCTGAGAGCATCGACTCTCTGAAGGGTGAAGAATGCTTAGAACAAGCAGGGACAGTAACTTTGTTGTCCAAATAACAGCAGAAATTTGGTTGCAAAAAGGGAACTCATTTTAAAAAAGTCGTGCGGATAGCATATCAGTAAACATCTTCTGGGAGAATATTGGTGGTTTTATGACAAGAACAACTAAAGAAATGTTCTAAATAACCGAGAAACCAGAAAGTCAGATTGGGAAGTGCATTTAAGTAACCGAGAAAATGAAAACACCCCAAAGTATCTGAGTACAACAGCTAGGCGCCAACCCATTGCAATATCTTAGGATGGAACACGGTTCTTAACTGAGAATATTATTATGGAATTAAATTTCACTCTAGCTGTATAGTGAATTATGACAGCTACGCTTAAACTTCTGCACTATTCAGTATCCAAAAGATGATTAGGTTCCTTCCTTCCTTCCTTCTTTCCTTCCTTCCTTTTCTCTTTCCATCTTTCTTTCTTTCTCTCTTTCTCTTTCTTTCTTTTCTTTCTTTCTCTCTTCCTTCCTTCCTTTCTTTCCTTCCTCCATTCCTTCTTTCCTGCTTTCTTTTTCTCCTTCCATCTTTCTCTCCTTCTTTCTTTCTTTTTCTTTCTTTCTTTTTTTCTCTCTTTCTTTCTTTCATCTCTCTTTATTCCTGTCTGTATGTCTTTCTTTCTCTCCCTCCCTCCCTCCCTCCCTCCCTCCCTTCCT